TCACAGCAGGAATGCAGCTCAATAGTTGCCACTTAGCAGGATTATTTGCAAGGGTGAAGTAACCATTACAGGGTTATGACTGCTTTTCACACCCTGTGTCTTTAGCCAATGATGTGGTCACAGCAGAAGCAGATGTGAAAATTATTTTATACTCACACTTTCAATAGGGCCACTAATTTAAACATCTGACTATCATATTGTCCTTGTTTTGGCTGGGACAGTTAACTTTCTTCACAGCAGCTAGTGTGAGGCTGTGTTTTGGATTTGTGCCGAGAAGGCGGCTGATCACGTAGCGGTTATAGTTGCTGCCCAGACAGTCATGGACTTTTCAGCTTCTCTGCTCTGCTAGTGTCTGGGAGAAGCTGGGAGGGAGCACAGACCCAGTTACTAGTCTAGGATTTGACCTTAGGTTTATGATGAAGACCCAAACTGGCCAATGGTCTATTCCATATCATGCATGTCATGCCCAGTAGAGAGAAGAGGCTCCATCTGGACGTGCTCTGCCTCTCTCAGGGTTGTCTCGCTCTCTGAGTCTCAAAAGCTCAGGCTCTTACCTCATTAGACAGGAACAGGCTGAGCACTGGTTTTCAGGTGGTGAGCAGTTTAGTGTGTAGCACTCATTTGCATATATCATTATTGTTGTCAGTTTTGTTGTAGTTTAGTTATTAATTGTTCTTATCTCAACCCATAAGCCTCTTTTCCCTTTACTCCTTTAACTCCCTCCCCCATTGCCAGGAGGGGGGAGGGTGAGCAAGAAGCTGTGTGGTGTTCATAGCTAGCTAGGTTCAAAACCACAACACATACTGAAGTTGGTAGAAGCATCCTGACAGCATTCCTCCCAGGTCCTAGATTACCCCAAACTACCCAGGCTTCAATGTTAGGCATGACCCTATACTAAGACTACAGCTACAAACTCAAAGCTATCAATTCTTTCCAATCAGCTACAAATTTGCAGCAGTACTAGTTTTGATAAACTATCAAATATTTTAAATACTTTTTCTGGTCAGAGTTGTAGTTATTGCTGCTGTACTCTTTTTCCAGGCTACCTCATTATCTGAGCCCAAAACTTAATGAAACCTGCACGGCAAGTCACATGTTCCTGCTCAGTGCAAAAATAACACAGCACACTACAGAGACGTAGTAACAGCAGCCCTTTAGAACAGCTGAGCGTGGAAGCAAAGCCAAATAAGATGTTCTCAACTGATCAACCCAAAATACTGAAAATAAAAATTCTGCAGTATAGATTATGGTGACAGTATACCCACTGTGAGGCTCGTTGGTTCTAATCTATATCAGGTCATTATTCTGTGAGTAGTCTGAAGAGTGTTTGAGAAGACCACTAGCTTAGTAAAGCTATTTAAGCATCTATCCAGATAAAAATTATAAGCCCAACTTCAGTTTTGAAATGCAATTTTTCCAACCCTATAAAGACAATAAGCATTTAATTTAATGTCAATACACTGAAATTTTAAGTTGCAATGTATTGACACTGCAGTTCTCAGTACACAACAGTTGTCAAAAGCACTTCAGAACTTCACAAAACACACAGGCCAAGACCTTCAGATTTAAGATTTATTTAGACACATCCAGCATGGTACACAATTGCAGCTATTCTTTTTCCACTGAAAGATGCTCCAACTCTGCAAGAAAAAAAAAAAAAAAAAGAGTTAAAAAATTGAAGAACTCTATGTTACCTTTCAATCTAGTTATAAAGATATGCTTTAACCTGAATTTTTATGGGCTTTGCTTCATCCACCACATGCTTTTGTAGCAGAGGCCTTGACTTACATGAAATCACACAGTTTGAAATGCTCAAGTTCAATACAACCATCCTAATTTTTTTTCCCCTCTTTAGTCTAGGGAGCCAAAAACATTAGACTGACAAAAGAATTATACAGATGACTTCAATTTGTTCCAATCATGAGATTCCAGTGAGGACTTATTTCTTTCCAAGAACTACTTGGGTCATTCCAGCTCCTCAAAGAGATTTATTCTCAGATTACAGAGCTGACAATACCAGGTATTCAGATTAAGATAAACTGAAGTGGCCTTTCAACTAGAAATGGCACACTCGCACAGTCTGAACTATATTTGAGCTTTGCTCTGTCTGTTAAGGTTCATCAACAAGCATCAATTATAATAACTTCTGCTGTTAATGACCTTAAGTGCACTTAATCTTATAAATGGTTTACAAGATTGTGTGTAGATGGTGTGATTGTTCTGATATGGTTTAACTGAAGTTCAAGAAATCTTGTTTCCCACTGTTTTAACTGGCACATCAGAAAGCGTTTACCGTATCACAGTTTCTCATACTGTTTTGTTCACATCACACATGCCAGTTATTCCTACAGAATACAAGAAGCTTTGTGTTTTCTCAAAGACGAAAGCAGACATGGTTTTGGTTATGGTTATTATCCAAATCAAATCAGTAGCACTCTTCTGTCAGTTAGCCCAGCTGCAGACTATAAAGAAGCTGCAGTCAGAGAAGTGTGGGCTTTGAGGAGTCAAAGTCCACCAAGTCAATGAGAGTACAGCAGCCCTGTGAAGCAAACTTAAACTTATTCATTATTTGAGTTTAGAGGCAACTGCAGATCACAACTCTAAGCATCTGGTCTGCTAAAGGCCCAATTTTGACCAGAGATTACACTATGCTATAAAATCCAACAAAACCAGTTACCCAGTTAGTGCAATTACAGTCTGTCCTCTTCATTTCTTAAGCAGCTGGTGTCTGACTATAACAAAAGGGGCAACAAATCCACTTCCAAAGAATCCACACATTAGTACGAGTAATCGCCATTTGTTGTCCACAGAAAATGGAAGGTTCTAGAAGAGAAAAGTGAATTTTAGTTTTGCAGTCAATACAGTAATTGATTTGAAAATGGCACAAGCTCAGAGCACTAACAGTTGGAGTCAAACTGACAATATAAATATTCAGTCTCAAAACAATTTCCCTTCCTCTCAAGGAAAGAAACACAGTAATTAGAATAAAAGCTTAGGTGTGACCTCTGGAGGTCATTTTGTCCACTCTTCCCCTCTCTCCCCAATTCAAAGTAGGGCCAGTTTGCTGAAGGCCTCATCCAGTCAAGTACAAACACCTCTGAAGATACAAACCCCACAGCCTCTCTATACAACCTGTTCCAATATTTAATTACTTTAATTGCGAAGATTTTCCTCATGTCCCTTAGGTATGTAAAATTAGTTTTTGCATTCAGAACTAAAGAGAACACGTTAAGCACAAGGCACATCAGAAAGCGTTTACAGTATCATTGTTGCTTCTCATACTGCAATGCTCATCATCTGTACCACTGAAGTTATTTGCACTACAATTCGCTTTGTTGTGGCTGTTACACTGGCACCACAAAATCCCAAAGCCCACCTGGAATAGTGGCAACAGGGCAATCATGACTCCACTCCTCCAACAGCACAGACTTCACAGGGGCCTTATAATCCAAGTATGTGCAAAATCCCTCACGGGGCTCACCTTGTGAGCTCACCTTGAGCATGCCCGCGTCTCACCCTAGCGCCTACAGCGAGCCAGGGCATGCCCGCACTGCGGCTCCAACAACACCGTCAGGGTCTTTCTCCAGCAATCTCCTCATTTCCCCCCAGTCCCCCACCCAGGAGCTGCGGCGGGGCTGGGCCCCGACCTAGGCCTGCTGCAGGCTGCCCGTGGGCACGGCGGGCGCTGCCAGCGCACTGCTTTTCAGGGACGCGTTCCTCCCCCTTCTGGTCCCCTTCCCAAAGCCGTTACCCTCCTTCCCCAGCGGGCTCCCGACCCCCCTCTCCCCACCGCTGCCCTCCCACGAGCCCGGCCTCAGGCCTCTTCCCTTCCCGCGACCTTCACGCCACGCCGCAAGGGGCCGGGGCCACCTCTTCCTCACGTTACCTTCCCGGGACCTTCCTCATAGTGGCTCCTGCGGATGGCGGAGGTGGTGAACCTGCGAACACTGGCAGCCAGCATGGTACCGACACGACACCCCACCAACCCTCTCCCCTTCGCGACCTTCCCGCAGCGCTGCCGCCGCCTTGTGGGAACGGGAAGCGGAACGAGAACTTGGGGATACTGTTCCTGCCCTAGGGCATGATGGGAGTTGTAGTGCCGCGCTGCGCCTCGAGGTCACGTGGCCCAGAGCTCCTGCCTGCGATTGGGTGAGCTGTGCGCCTCAGAGGCGGGGGCGTCCCTTGTCTCCAGCCTTCGCCGCCATTTTGTCGCTGCCCCGCGTTCCCGCCGCAGGGGGGAGGGCGGGGCGGTTCTTTCGGGTGGGGATGGGGGTGTGGCAACGTGCTCTATGGGGGTGGTTGGGAGGTTCAGACGTGGGAAAAGGAAGTGAAAGGGATTGCGACAGCGCAGTGGAAAGCGAATGGCCGCCCCTGTGTTACCTCACTGTAACCTTGTGACTAGTACAGGTCAGCTTGTAGAGATCTCCCCTTCTTTGTGGAGTGGCTGATAGCCATAGTTTTTAAACAGTAAGAGTGCAGTGAAGATAGGCAGGACAAATGGTGAAGGTTTATGTGGTAGTGCCAGCTTTCATGAGTATATTCTGGCATAGTTTTTTTACAAAGTATCACTTCAAAGAAACGTTGACAATATGGAGGGAAAAACCCACCACACCACCCTTCATGTTTAGAAAATGAATAATAAGAAACCCCACAAAGTTATTTCTAAAATTATGGTATCTTTCTGTTGTCTTACATACAATATTTCAAACAAAAGCTTTTTTTTTCTTTTTTTTTTTTTCTTTTTTCATAACAAGAGTAGTTTGATGCCATCACTGTTGCAGGGAAACAATTTTTAAGTAGCCTTCACAGTTATGTAATATCTAAGGGAGGAGTTTTGTGCTCACCAACATAACACGTTAATCAAGGCCAGTTGAAAGAACTGCAAATCTGAGCAGTGAGGCATGATTGCATTAGTTTTTATTTAGAAAATTTATTTTGGAAAATAATTAGATGTCCTGGGTTAAGCTGAGACATAGTTAACTTTCTTCATAATAGCTAGCAAGAGGCTGTGTTTTGGATTTGTGCTCAGAAGAAAGCTGATAAAAAGTGATGTTTACACGGCTGCCAAGGTCTTTCAGCTTCTCTGGCTGTCTGCAAACAGGAGAAGCTGGGAGGGAGCACAGCCTCAGTTACTAGCCCAGGATTTGATCTTAGGTTCAGGATTGAGACCCAGAGTGGCCAATAATCTATTCCTTAACATACACGTCATGCCTAGTACATAGGTGAGAACCGTCCAGAAGCTCACCCCTTTTGTTCCAGGTCCCCTTTTGCTCCGGATCATCTCACTCCAGGTGGTCCCTCTCCCAAGGCCTTCTCTTCCCCCTCGTCACCCCTCAGTCTGGGATGCTCGGACTGTTATCTCCGTTCCGTGAGTGTGGTTTCGGGACTCCCTCTGCTCCAGGATCCTTAGCCAGGAATAGTCTGAGCCTCTGAGCCTTGGCCATCGGGTGGGGGGGCAGTATCACTGTGTATCACTCATTTGTATATTTGTATGTAGTGTTATTTTCAATATTATTGTAGTTTAGTTATTCAATTGTCCTTAACCCACGAGTACTTTTTTCCCTGTACCCCTTTAATTCTCTTGCCCATCCTCAGGTGGGGGGGTGGGTGGATTGAGTGAATGTGTGTGTGGGTTGGCCCCTAGCCAAGGGCAAACCCATCACAGAAGAGTAAGGAGTTATTACAGGTTGTTTTGAGAGGCAAAGTCTCTTCAAGCAGAAGACAGGAAAGCAACATGAAACAATAAATATTTTAAATATTTAAAGTATCAAATAAAAGTAGTCACATAAAGTGGAATTAAGTGTAAAGATGCATTTATTTTTCGTTAAGAATTTATTTTATAAATTGCAAAACAATATAGTAGAAATGAATTTGCACTAGGTGTGCTTATAAACACTTCAGAAACAGTTACGGGAGTAACCAGTAGATTTGTACTGGAGTGCTATCCTATGGGTAGGTTAAACTGCCAGGAAAATGCAGCAATGACTTTTTGTACTTTTGAGTTCAGCACTTCCTGAGGCTGGAGAGCAATCTGAATTAGTTCAGGTGCAGTTTTCTGGGACATTCTCTGAGTTTCATGGAATAACATAACTCTTGAATTGTTCTAGATCCAGAGTAGAATTTAGCTCAGTAATTCTAATTCAATGCCTTGTAAAACCAAGAATTCTCAGCAACTTTTGACACAGAATGCTTTTTTCTGTAGTGTTTTGTTGACTGTACAGGGACAAGCCAGTTGTAATTTTGAGTCAGATAATCCTCATCCACGTGTATATTCGTGTCTTCATCAGAACTTCAAGAGGTTTGTAATGCTGGCCTTCTCATTATGGAAGCAAAATCAACACTCTCACACCAGGGTTATATTTATTCAGATATCTGCTTGTTCTAGCATTGTTATGATCTCTGCTAAAATGTCCTTCACAGATTACAGTTTCAGAAACCTGTAGTTCTCCTTGGAAAGTGTTGGAATAAATGGGTATCATATTTGCCACGCAAGGAATTTTGAAGTGGGAGCTTAGCCTAATCGTTAGTAATTCAGCTGTTCATCATAGCTTTCTCTTAGAGGTTTTATGCGAGTGTCATTTGGTCCTGGTTACTTCTTAGTGCTTATTTTGTCCATAAATACACCATAGCCTGTTCATACAGTTCTTATTCTGTCCCCCTCACAAAAAAAGACTGTGACATGCAACCTAACTAGGTTTCTTCCACAGTGAATATCAGTGCAAAGAATCCATTTAAGCATCTCTGTTAATGACCTTGTTGTTTCTGAGTGCTTCTTTATTCTTTGACCATTAGTAGGTGATATAGAAGTCCAGGACACCTTTTGCCCCTGTTTGTATGTCTAGTTGCAATTCCTTTAGCTAGTTGTTTTTTAGATATTTTTTCCTCTAGTTATATTTTTAATTGTATGCATCAGAGTTTACAATTCTTCTTTCTTCATTTGCTAATTCTTAAATCTGTTGGAGGATGCTTTCCTGTTTCTGTCAACTTCCCTTGCTGTTTAGGCAGCCAGACCTTTTTTTTTTTTTCCTTTTTTTTTTTTTTTTTCTTCCCCTTTTCTCAAGCCTTTCCTATTTGGAACTACTAGTGCAATGGCGCACAGCTTCCTGTGGGGTACTGTGCTTTATTTTCTCTTTAAGAAGTATTCTCATTATAATGTAGCACTTGTAGTGGACTTTGTTGTTTGTTGCTGCTGAAGAGATGCTGAGCATAGGTATAAACATCCATGTTAAACAGTGGCACTTCAATGGTGAGACTTTGTACTGCAGGAAGATCTTTCATATTATTCAGAACAGAGTGAATGGTTCATTTTCTTGTTGTGGTCTCCTAGCCATCTGATTCTCAAAGCAATCAGAGATATGGTTTAAACATTTCTTCTCTGCTTAATATCGGAAGGTAATTTTTGCTCAGTCTGCTCAGGAATAATTTTAGTCACTCAGTGGAATTGCAGTTCTTGTCCTAATGCTGTTGTAATTTGTTTTGGCATACCGCAGAGCTGGTGTTGCCCTGCTGGTGGGGAGAGTGGTCTCACGCTACTACATTGCTGCTACTGGGCTTGGACCTACTACACACACAGATTTTGTATTACGCAATAAGGGTATGAATTATAAAGACAGATACTAATCAATGTGTAGTAGAGAATATTACTCCACCAGTGTCATAGTTTACTCACTGTCTTTCCGATGTATATTTAATCCTGGTACTACAGTGTTTTGTTGATTGATTTCATTATGGTAAGTTTCTGATAGATTGATGCATCATTATTTCCTCATAGGGCTACGTTGCATATTTCCACACAGATTAATGTTAGGAGGGACAAAAACGGTAAATTCGGTATCTTAACTTCCGGATAATCCAGATATCTTCTAGTTTGACTCCTACAGTGATATAGTTACAGACTTTCATTAGCAATAGCAACTATCACTTGAAATGATAGTTTGCAGCTGTTTTCTGTGTAGACAGAAATAGAGATTTGTAGGTAGGTATGACAGAGAGAGGTAGATCTTCAGGAGGAGTTAACTGGTTTACAACTGGTGAAGAAATTTGCACGAGCACTCATATCTGTTCTTCAAAGTATAAAGTAGGAAATGAAGTATGCCAGGAAGAGTTTAGAGAAACAGACTCAATTGCCATTGACTGGAATCTTGTCAAAGAAATGAAAGATAATATCTTCCAAATTATTAGAAATATGATGTACAGTAATTATAATGAGGATAATGATGTAGCAATGCAGATTATTATAGGACATGGTAAATGCTCCATTGGGTGCCTTTGTAGAAAGGCTGTCTGACTCACACACAAATTGTGGTGCTTACAAAAGGAATTACTGAGTGAAATTCCCTGGCCTGTGTTATGCAGAGGGTCAGAACAGATTATTATAATGGTTCCTTTTGGCTTTTAAATCTGTGAGTCTTGGAATCTAGGCTTTTAATTCACATACAGCTTTTTATATTTACTATTCTTTCTTCCTTTAAAAGACCTATTACTATAACTGGTTGGATTTGCCAGGTTATATTCTTCATCTTCAATAAAATACGACATTTTGCGGCTTGTGAATGTGACTTGGTGAAGAATTATTTCAGGTACTGATTTCTCACTGCTCCTCACTTTTGCCCACAAAGAACATTCCTCTTCCTGAACTGTAAGGCAAAAATATAAATAAGAAAAACACCAGATAACTAAAGAAGATAGTGCTTAATATCTGACTTTTGGGATTTTGATGAAAGAAAGAAACGTGGGAAGCTTAGTGGACATTTTAGCAAAATACCTAGGGCTATACAGGGTTATCCATTTCCAAGCTGATCATGCCAATCAACTGAGATATAGAACCGAGATACAGGTCAGAGTGACTTTTTCAATCCTATTTTATGAGTGAAGGAAACAGCTGTTCTTAAATACTGAAATTATGTCTGGTTAAGTTCAGATATACGTACTTCATGAAAACTTTCTAATAGCATAAACTCACTAAATTTTT